TTATACATGTCATGAGACATTAGTGATTATTAATATAATAGGACTAATACTACTGCCTTATGACAAGTATAATTACTTACTTCTCTATTGGTTGAAAATCATTGTTATCACATTTTGAATTTGATAAGAAGAATTTCTAATATATGATGAATCCCAAGTTACTTTCCTCATGTTTATGTATTAGACCAGTGAAAATCATGCGTTGGTATCATAAAATCATTAGGTTTGAAATGTACTAAGTATATTTCTGTGTTTTCTGTAATTTGAAAGTGTTTTCCTGGATCTCTTAAAATTTTATGAATGTACAAACAAAATATTACATTATCTTCTGGAAGCTTGTGTCACATTAGGTTCTCACCAGTCATTTTAAGTTTGGTACACCTATACTATACTTTATAGTTTTATCATGTATGTAGTTTTTACTGTAGTTGCTAGGATTGTTCTTGGCATATGGAAACTGGTCAGTTATTCACAAAAGGTCCTGGTGTTGGGGTCGAAATATTATAATGAATAAAATGTTTTATTCAATTATTTAATAACTTGTGTGTTTTTAACAGTAATACTAACTAATCAGGATCACTGTAGAAAGTTAATCAAATCAAGAGTGATTATACTTTGAAAGCTCGTGAACTCTCGTTATCCAGTGTTCTTAAGCATCTACAGAACATGGATATTATGTTAACTTTAGTTCTAGATAGTTTTCATTGTGGCCAGTTATTTTAATGAATGTAGAATAAATGTTATTTTATGTAATATTTTAAACTAAAATTTACTTAATTAGAAAGAGCTGGGCAGTTAAGTTGTCTAATTGATTACATAAAATAATCAGTTGAAGTTGTGATTAAATCGATTAAAGTCACAAAAATTAGTGTTTCTGTTTATTACTTTTCCTGTGATTGCTGGTACTTTGGTGAAGTTAGAAGTTGTTGTATAATAGTATTTTGAAGAAAATCTAAGAGGTAATAGGGTCTTGGTTAAGTTTGTGTGAGAGAAAAATCTTGCTACAAGGTCAAAGGTCACAGGACAAGCCATTTTGAAAGAAGGACAGGAATGATCTATAATAACTAGTGGTTCATCCAGAAGGTGTGGTCAGATGTTAATTTAAAGTAGTCTTTAGTAAATAAAAATTTATCAATTATTAAAAATGTCAACCCTTTTGCACTGAAATATTTTCTGAGCAGCTTTGTGATTTGTTTTTTAACATAGAAGTATCCAACAAGTAACTGTAGAAACTTTTAGAGTGTTTTCATGAAGTACACTGCCCACTCACTACCTATACCACCTTGCATGTAAGGGATATAAACTTGATACCAAATCTCATCCAGCGTTATTAAATGCAGTGGTAATGTAGTGAAACACTAGCACGAATGTGTGGAACATAAATTTACTTTCAATGACATATAACTATTGTACTACGAATGTTTCATGAGTGCTAAATTTATGTTACCAGCAACACCAGGTAGTAAAAAAAAACATTGTAAAATATGTGAAATTTCTGTAACTTTTTGTGTGTATTTATCTTTTCTTGGGTAATTATTAGATTCATCTTTCGTGTACAGCAGTTTCCATTAAAAATGTAATCTGTTAGTTTAGAAGTATATGACATTTTGTTAATTTTTGCCCTTTATATAGTTTCTCCAAGAAGCAAGGCCTCACAGGCTCCAGTTGGTTTTATAGGCCTAGGAAACATGGGCTCACACATGGCAAGGAATTTACTAGATAGAGGTCTCTCTCTAGTGGTTTATGACGTTTACCCAGAAGTTATGACTTCACTGTCTGACCAAGGTGCTCGAATAGCCCAGCATCCAGCAGAAGTTGCTGAAAAAAGTGATCGCATCATAACAATGTTGCCATCCAACCAACACGTTCAAGCAGTTTACACTGGGGAAAATGGCATTTTCAAGTTGGTGTCAGAATTTAGTGTAAATCTGTTAGTTGTGGTTTAGTAAAGCTAACTTGCTGGAGAAATATAGATGTTTTAAAGTTTATGAAGTAAATAAAAGTATAGGTTAAATACATTTGTAGCTGTACACAACAGTGACATTTGTAGATTTCTTGACTGTAGACTGTAGTTATGTTATAAACATTTAGTTTGATGGAGACTACTTGACCGTAGACTATAGTTATGTTATAAACATCTAGTTTGATGGAGACTACTTGACTGTAGACTATAGCTATGTTATAAACATTTAGTTTGATAGAGATTACTTGACCGTAGACTATAGTTATGTTATAAACATTTAGTTTGATGGAGACTACTTGACTGTAGACTATAGTTATGTTATAAACATCTAGTTTGATGGAGACTACTTGACTGTAGACTC